CCCCCCCCGGGGGGGGTTCCCGGGGGCGGCCCCCCCCCCCCCAGCTCCGAGCCTGGGCGGAGAGCGGGGACGCCAAAGGCGGAGCGGGGGGTGGGGAGAGAGAGAGGGAGCCGCCAGGCCAGGAGCGCCGGGTGGATCTGCCCCACCTTCCCGCCCCTCTTCCCCCCCAACATCCCCGCCCCTCGGCAGTCTCTGAGCTCGCTTTCAAGGTCCCAATCCAATCCGGCGCAGCTTCTATTTACACAACCGGGAAAAAGTCACTCTGAATGCGCTCCTCCTCGGTCTATTTACACGAGTCTCTGCTGGATTCGGACAGACCTTGAATCTTGCTGAAGCTCCTACCCGTCCAAGGTGTCTCGAGAGGGATGCGGGGGACCTAGAGACCCCCTCTGCCACGGAGTTCTCACTGGGGCAACAAGGGGGGCTTGAAGGAGCAGTTGCCGGCGCAGTGGCGAGGGGTCAGCATCTTGCAGGAAAAGTGGTGCAGCGCATCGTGGGCCTCTGCGAAAGGAAGCGACAGAAGACAGAAGAGGGGCCGTCACGCCCGGCGGCGGCAGAGCCCGCACCCCCCCAGCCCAGCAAACAGCTCTGCCTCAGCCCCTGCCCAGAGCCCCCTCTCCCTGGAACAGCCGCTCTGGCGAGTCGAGGTCGATTCCGCAGCAGTACCACAAAAGTTACTTTTCTTTCCCTTTTCCCGGAATATATGACCTTGGGCCTTCCTGGTGGTGTCCCATCCAGGGACTAACGAGGTCTGCTTCCAGATCAGCTAACTGCAGGGATGCGCCCACAACAGTGCAACGGAAGTTTCCATTGCGCCATCGTGGCGCCATTATGATATTTTGGCTGTATCCTGCGGGCACCCCTGCAACTTAGGGTGACCAGTGCTGCTTTCTGAGCCAGACACAAATTTTTCTATAATGGGATTAGTCTCATGACCGGAGCTGGGCCAAATATTTTCCAAAGGCAGCAAGGCCCGTTCCGTGGTTTGGCTCAGCCCTGGTTGGTTCCAAGGAAAGTAAGTTAAGCCAGAGGAGCCAGAAGGGCTGGCTTCACACCCCGGGCTAAGTCCTAGGAGGGGCGAATCCAGAGTGGCCCCAAATCGAATGGGATCCAGTCAGGCTTCCCTCCCCGCATCCCTGCATGGGATCTGACTACTTTTCTGCAAGGAGCGCAGGGGACTTATTAACTGGCCTGCTCTATCAGGAGGCTGTAAGAGTTCCTGAAATCTGACAGCTGTTTCTGCACAAGACGCTAAGCAGGCCGGTTCGGGAGCCAGCAGGGGCACTCGCAGAACAAGCTACAGTTGGCAAGCTCAGCCCTGACCAGGCTTTCAGGGCGGCTCGTCCTGCCAGAGGGCAGGGTGACCTCAGATACCAGGTTAGGGTACCTTCTGCCAGGGTCTTAGTCCCTTGCACGGCCAGCGAGTCCAGCCGGACTCGCATCTGACTTGACTTCAAGTCCCGACGACGTTGATGCTGCGGACGCCCGTGTGAAGCCACCCACCTTTGAGCTTCTGCTGAATGGCGTAGCGGGCCTTCCGTTCCTGGTCCAGCTCGTTGCACAGCGTATCTGCGGAGGACAGGACGGGCTGGGGACGGGCTGGCAAGGGAGCGGCCCCTCTGCGCCCCCCACGCCCACACCCCACACTTCC